GATCCAAAGGCCCAAAAAACTCTTCAAGAGAGAGACAGAGTTTCTAAGTTAACAGCCGCTGCCCTTTCTAACCTGTTTGAACATCCTAAGGAGGTACATACTCCTTAAATCTTCCATCAATCAGCAACTAGCTCTGGTTAAAATCTCCACTTAAATTAGGTATTGTCTTCTCTTTCTCCGTATACAACAAGCTCTCTCCCAAAACCTCCGGCGATTGCCTCCAATTTTTGATCATAGAATCTATTGTCTAGAGCTGCTTTAAACCAACTCTACATAAACCACAAAGAGCAAATAACAAGTCACGATTGGTTCTACTGAAGTACAGCATGCTACAGAAATACATTTTAATACCTTGTGACACTTTCGTGTGCAAGTTTAGTATTCGCAGCTAAGTTTTTTTTTTTTATCATTTTACATAAAACCATTAGTTTGTTAACCTATTTTCTTGTAATAGTCTGATTTTTTTCTTAATTTTCATCTGTTTACTCTTAGATTCCCGCTTGCATGTTTTTAGAGGTACAAACATGTATATATCTTCCGGAAAACTAATAAAACCAAGGATATTGAATTAGCAAAATATAAGGAACCAATCTGCAATACTTCAGTAATACTAAAAGGCAGAAAAACCGGCTGATTAACAATGACCAATAGCAAACAATTTACCAAGGGCTCAAGAAGATAGGCCAGAAACACCTAACTTACTATATTTTCTATAGCAGTATTCTAGCTTGCATATCGTTTTTGCTTCAGTTAGTGCTTAATGAATAAGAATGAACGCAAATGCATAGAGAGGATCAGGGGATGGTTTCACTTACAGTGACAAGCACCAAGAATGAAGGAACTAAAGTCCATCAACAACTTTGATGCCAGCATTTCTGTCCCATTCCTCTGGAGTGGCAGCATCAGCCATTATCTTGTCTTGACCACGCCAAAGTATCTGAATAAATTATGCCAGATTAGCTAGATAACACAAAACTCCCACGAGAAAATTGTTGTGATATCATAGTATCTGAACTCACCTTGTCAATGACTCCAAACTCTTTAGCCCTTGTTGAGTCCATATAAAATGGTCTTTTCATCACACTAGCTACAGTCTCCACTGACTAACCAAAGATAAATGCATATGGTGAAGTTATCTTTTATTTTTATATTTTGCAGATAAATGCATAAAAAGTTGACATCAATGAACCTTACATTCCCAGTGTGTTTGGCTAGAAGTTCCGCAAGAGTATCCCTGTTTATCACTGCCTGCAAAAATAACCAGGAAACTAGAATATTCAGCAAATGTATATTTAAAACTCCAGCTGAAGGTAACAATCATAAAAAGCAGAATAAAGTTGAGCAATAAAAGGGGTGAGTTGGGTGATAACCACTTTGGCAAAAGAAGAGATTTGGACTTGGAAGAACATTCAAGGGGATAAAAGCTACAACAAGATTCTTGGCCTTATCTCTTTAGCTACATCTTGAGTCATCTTGAAAGAAACGAATAGAAGAGCTTTTGAGCGCATAAAGTGGTATTTTGATAGATTGAAGGATTCTTGATGTCAGACCTTACCTTTTTTTATTAGGGGTCACTCCTATTCTTGCAAGGACATAACGTACTTGATTGACTTGTTGATAGAATTGTAAAGCACCCTGTTTTTTTTTAGTAACGGTCCTCCCCTCTATTCTTGTAGGATTTAAGGCACTTGATTGACTTATTAATAGAATTGTAAATAAATATGGGTTGCATCTGTTTTGGTACTCTTAGATCAAGATTGTCTCCTAACCCATCATATCTAGCATAGTATTCACCATCTCGATCAGATCTCATAATCTTAATCTTTCTATCTAATTGTCTCGCAACCTCTATAATGCACACCTTAAAGATATCAACGGCTTTAGACTTATTATGCATTATATATACATAATCATACCAAGATAGATCATGTATAAAAGTGAAAAAATATCTCTCTCCAGTGAAACAAGTAATGGAGAGTGGTTAGCAAATGTCTGTATGAATTATCTCAAGAAGCTCTTTACTTCTTGTGTCACCTTTCTTTATATGTTTAGTTTGCTTTCCTATTATACAATATATGCATACTTAAAAATCAATGAAGTTAAGATTTCGTAAAATTTCATCATTCACTAATCTCTCAATGTTTTCCCTAGATATATTCCTTAACCTTTTATGCCATGAGAATGAAGAATTTTCATTAATTAAGCAACATTTTGAACCAATATTTGAATGCAAGGTAATTAAAGCTTGTGCAAATTCATGATTCAATAAAATTTTATATAAACTACCATTTACTAAATACTTGAAAGTGCAGGAGCAAATAACAAACCTCTCTTGCACGAATAAGGACATCACTAGCAGGCATCAGTCCAGATGATGGCAAACGAGGCTGCTGGATCATAGCTGAAGCATAACAAAAGTGAACAGTCAAAACTCCAAAGCACAGGTGATCAAAAGAAATCCAGTACTGCAGATTAGCCAAGCCAACAAGCTTATACCTTTTGCATGTGGCATCATAAACCGTTTACCCTTAGTACCAGCAGCAAGTAATAAACATGCCTGACCTATAGCAGCTCCAACAGCAACAGTGTGTATCTATGTAAGTAACAACAGCGTACAAATTATGAAAGGAATCACCACAACAATTAAACCTTTTAATCACACACTCAAAAAGACATCCTACCTCATTTTTTAGCTGCATCAATGCATCATAAATTGCAAAACCTTCTGTTTCCATTCCTACCTGGTTTCCAAGCATTGTTGATAGTCAATTTTTGAATAGAAAGAATGAACACTAACTTGAGAAAATCTTATGCCTAGTATGCATATTTTAACTAAAAAAATACAATAGCAAACTTTTTGTGGCTCGGAGAGTACCAACTTGAACCACTTTCACGGAAATTACATGTTCCATTTTGCCCACACCAAATCTAACAAAATCAAGGAAAAATGACAAACAACAGCACTAAGAAAGCCAAAACTTTATTTCTTCAGAGAAAGCTCAAACGGACAAGATATCCTCAGCACGCACTTCTAAAAGCTAATCATGCGTAGCATCCATGAAAAGAGGAAAAAGTGGGAAAGTTCTGATGACATGATAAATATCTTGCATTCCAAAGCCATCATGTTTTATAGGCAATTGACTCAGAACTCACCGTTTCACCATCGTCACGAGTTGTTCCTGTGGAATTTATATATAAATATATAGGCTGCTTGGGATCCATCCATTGCAGGTACATCAATTCTGCAACCACAAGTTCTGTAACAGCTGGCACCAGCTGAGAATAGAAATCATCAGCTCATAATAAAATTGTGTGACCACATAATACAAAAACTCCTAAAAGCAATGACATTGACTCCATGATTGGTAGAAATATGCACCAAAAGACTTAAGAATATTTAAAAGACAAAAAAAAAAAGGGTCTTTTTTGGCATACTGAAGCGTTCTGCCATCTCAAATCATCTTCTCATCCTTAAACTTTAAGCATTTGTCACAATTATAACCCTGGCTGTACCCCTAAACAGAACCCCAACCAACAGGCAAAAATAAAAATGGTGAAACGCCAATACCGGCTCCAACACTACCAATTTTCAATGAGAATTTCAGGAAATCATTGCCTCATGTCTAATTTCCATTAACATAAGAGTCACTTATAGCAGAGGATGTCGCAATTACTTTCCTTATATATCACCACTTTATCAGATAAGTCCTTCATTAACATTAGTATTCTAGAATGCAAGAAAAAGTGACTCCACCACCAGCATTAGCGAAGTTGCTAGGATCAGGAATGAAACTGTTTTCTATCTTCCCCCTAAAACCAGACTCTTTTAAATATGTACCAGAATACATAGATTCTTTAGCGAGTTTCCTCGCCTATTTTTCCCCAGACATTTGGATATGAATTGATTGGCAAAAGGGTAATCATGCTAATATATATATGTAAATTGTGTTTCCACTTGTAGCAGAAAGAAACTTTTGTTCTGAAGGGGAAACTTAGATTGGAGGACCTACCGGCATACCAATGTAAACTATTCTCCCATGGAGAAGCAAAGAGGGTAAGTCAGGTGGGGGCCGCCTCGGTCTGTGCTCACTATAGGAGACTGATCTTTCCACCTAATTCATTCCAAAACAAATGCACACAAATTTAGTTTCACTTCCCTTCAGCACCGATCACTTTACCAGATTACTCAGAAAAACTTATCAAGTTGTTTCACTTTTTAGCCATTTCACTAGTTTTTCTTTTTTCTTGTGAATGAGAATTCTCTCCAGCTTAATTCAATCAAAATAAATCCCCGTTTAAGCTTCAAGTATCATATTCAATTACATATATGATAAAACGAGAGAGGCAAAATTCAATTTCACTCCACTCTTTTACTTCTCTCCTAAATCAGAATTAAAAAAAACAAAAAAACTTCAATACATACATCTCAACAGAACAGATGAAAAAGCCAGCATGAATGAAATACTATAAACAGCCTACTTGAGCAGGAGAAGCCATGAGCTTGGGAGAATCGAACAAGTCCAAATACGGCGGCGTATCCGAGTTCACCGGTCGGTTGAGAAACGCTTCGGGCGACGTAGCGGCAACTGATGCAAGCTTCGAGAGAAACGGGTCCTTAGGGTTAACTGGAGGCATAGGGATTTTGGCTGAGCTTTTTGCTCCAAGAGCACAACAACTACTCTTCAAACTTCCCCGTTTAATCGACTGCAGCGATGAAGAAGACGAAGAAGAGCACGAAGGGATTGAGTACGCCATAGGTACCTGTAAACAAGAGGCCATCGATTTTTTGTTTCCCCTGTGTACGTGTCTTGGTTTTGCTTCCCCGGTTCTTTTTCCGCTAGAAAATTCGCTTCTGGTTTGATATATTGGATTCGGCAGCTTGGGTGAAGAGACGAATCGGTTTCGGGTCGACCCGAATGAACTTCGGAGCCCAAGCGTGTGTTGGGCCCAACTATATATATATATATAATTTTTTTTTTCTTTTTAATGTATTTATATTTAGAAAAATTATATTTATAATTAATATATTTTAGATACTGTTTCTATAATTTCTGATAAATTTTTAAATTAAATTAAATATATTTATAAGATGATTATTTATTTTTGCTATTATAACACTTTATATTATATGCTTTCTGACATGCTACTACTCCACTACGACTCTTTGCTTTAAATATAAACTGCTCACTGAAACATAATCTCTAATAAGGTGTACACAGAATACGAATCAAGAAAGATATGCAGACAATTCATGTTTTAACTGAAGACTTGAATGTAATAAAACAATGATCTTGAATGACTCTCAAAAAACCAAAGAAACATATATATATATATATATATATATAATCCAGAAAATATAGAAAACGACCACCTTATAAATGAACCATCTAACTGTATGCACACAATTTGGTTATATTATCTTCTCAGGCACAGAGAAATCGAAGTCTTGGAGGTGGGAATAACCCTCATCGTCGGAGCACACACCGGCTTTGACTGGACTTAACTTGAACTGGAAATCATCGGCTGGTACTCGGTCTTCTCCTCCTCCCCGAAGATCTTAGCTATCTTCTTTGTGGGCACCAATGGCAAGTAGGAGGAAACCCGGTATCCCTTTTCAGCAGTGCTAACCACTGTCTGGTTGTATTTCTCGGTGCAGTAGGCTGCAGTTGGGATGACAACTTGTGCTACCTGGGGGAAAAGTGGAAGCTGATTGAGTTTGCGCCAGGCTGACGCAGCACATTGCTCTGCTTTTGGCTCGTACTTGGAGTATAGCTCCTTTGCAGTTGGCTCACACTTGGTGTAAACAGATTTTGCAAATCCTGATGCAGTGTCTACGACACCTGCACGATGAACTTCGGAAGCCACAGATCGAGCCATGACAGGAGCCTTTTGGGCTGCTGAAAAGGCTTGAGCTGAGACTTGCTTGAGGACTGGTGGCATGCGACGGTCCAGCTCAGTCACAGACTCATCTACCTACAAAAAATAAACAAAACTTCAAAAAACACGACTCACGAAAACAGATTGACATGTTTAACTGTTGCAGTACGTGTTACTTAAATCTGCCTCTTCGAGCCAGGGATTTAGTAGCCAAATAAAATGTAATAAATGCTATTGCAGTCATCTGTAGATTAATGACTAGCACTATCATTGTTTCCCTAGAATTGCACAGACGATAACAAGTGAAAGAAGTTGTAAAAGTAAAGCACCATTTGTGAATTGATCTATATATATATATATATATATATCACCTTCTTATGCCAGCAACCTTTTAGGGCAAAATGAACTAATAAAAATAAAGAACACAAGGATGAACAATCTAACTTGAAAAAACCAACAATTGCAAACTGAGGAACAATACAGTCTACCCACTAAGCTATTGAGAGACATCCAAAACTCTTAAAGCAAATCAGGATCATACAAGGTTCTTAACACCTTTCACATGACCTATGCTTAATACTTTGACATGTATTAAGAAAAAATTGGAACAACTGCTGCTGGCATATTTTTCCTGATTCCCATGAACAAATGTGCAGATGGATTCAGAATCTCTGTCAAGTGACTGTATCGTATAAGAAGCAAAACCTAAGCAGCTGCAAGTGTGACTATATTCTTTCTATCTTTATTTCATTTCCATGTTTTAATTATTTGACATGTAAAACATATTATAATTTATAAATATGATAATACAATGGCATCTCTATCCATTTCTCTAATTCCACAATCATCTTGTATTCTCTCTCATGGAAAGAATCCTGAAAACAACTTCCTTGAATTGGACATAAAATTGATTTAGAACTACAAAGCTATTTTCTTTCAAATTTCTACCATATCTTACATCGTTTTGTTATTACCACTCCATAAATTAAAATTTGAACCAAACCCCCAGTATCAGAAATCCATTTTCAGTCCAATGTTAAGCTATTGCTTTCAAGTTTCAACGGGTTTACAGATTTAAAAAAACTTCGATAAACATGACTGGAAGACACTTCTTTTATTTTACCACGAACAAAAGATACTCACCCTAAACAGAGGCAATTAACCGATGAAATAACATATAGCATAAACCTGTCCTAAACACAAAGCATGCATGAAACCAAGACCTCCACAATTGAAAGAACAAAAGCTCGACCATAAACAACATGCTACAACCTCTAAATCTATTAAAAATGGAAAGAAACCAATATAAAACTTTGAAGCGGGAAATTGGATTAAGTTCAAATTAAAAAAAAGCAATACCTTGCGATCAACGAACTTGAGGAGTTCAATAGGGACATCATGGAACTTATCGTAGACAGGGCCAACCACACTCTTCACGGTTCCTTCAACTGTCTCGACTCCAGGCTTCAAGGGACCTGACTTCTCCTTCGCTTTCTCGTACAGATGAGCGACACAAACTACAGCGTGAAACGCTGCAACTTGAACGAATTGCAGGTACTTTAGCCTCTGCTCCTCCTCCTTGGTCTTTCAAACACAAAAAAAAAAAAAAAACGTCAATCATAAATAAACTAATTCGTTAAAAACCTAATGAAAACCACGTTATCCTCATTTAGAACCTGAACAACCTAACAAAATTTCCCAGAAAAGATTCAGTATCCGAACAAATCGATGATAAACGAAAAACTTGAACAATCTTAGATGCAAAAATTCAAAAAAAGTAATAATATTGAAAAATAAAAAATAAAAAATCTGCCAATAATCAAAAGAATCATATGTAGCGAGCGACAATTATGATCAATTCACGGCGAGAAACCTAAAATAAAAAAACAAAATCAAGAGAGAAATGGAGCGGGAAACCAATACCATCTCCTGCTTCTGCGAGTTGGAATCTTCATGAGCCATGATCGCAATACAGGGGACGACTGCGGTGATTACTGAAACTGCGTGAATCAAAAGCTTAATAAACTTTTCGATTTATAAGAAAACAAGAGAAGCTTTGCTCTTCCGGATTCTAAAAATACAGAGGGTTTCCATATTTATATACGAGTTTTTCGGCACGGATCTCCGTGTGAAATGGACGGTTCTGGTGAGACGATGGTTTGGTCAATGGCGGATCGTTGACTCCTTCGATGCTAAGGTTTAAGTTGATACACCATGCGAAGAAAGCCCATACCGGCACGTTGTTCCGGAACAGTTACGATCCATCTGGTGCGTTGTTTCTGCCACGTGGCTTTAATTTACTGGACCTCGCTCTACTGTCATTTTTGAAAAAATTACCGTCACGTGAATAAATTAAAATTAGAATTATTATTTTAATTATACTTTTAATTAAATATAATTTTTATCTATTAATAAAAAGAGATATTATTCCATAAATCAATTTAAAAATACTTTTACTTTTAAAATAAATGATTTATTATGACAAAACTTGTTTAACCCATTTGTTAATTGTAATTATGAAAGTTGTATGGGATGATTAATCTCCTATAAGCACAATTTTAATAGCTATTTATAAGAGAAAATTTAATTTAACGAGACCGTTAATGTAATTATTTTTTCTATAAAAAAAATTTTGTTGGAATTAATAGAAAAAAATTTAATTAAATCCAAATCAACTTCTTTTTTACTCTTCGATCCATCATCTTATTTGAATTATACAATTAAAAATCATTTTTTTCGTTTAATATATTTATTACATTTAAAAATATAAAATATAAGATAACAAGACGAATGATTTTTTTTTTTTTTTTGTATTTGCTCGGTTTGCAAGAAAATTAAAGAAATTAATATACAAACATTTAGTTTGCGAGAAATTTAAAAAAAGTAATATAAAAATAAATAAAAATTTATAAATATATTTAAAAAAATAATAAATGCCCGAAAGCACTTATACTTTTTTAAAAAAATTTAAATTATTTTTTATAATAACTTTATATCAAGTATAATTTATATTTTTAAATTTTATAAAAACTATTTCTTATTATTAATAATATTTTCAATACCATTTAATAGAATTTCGTATTATACATGATATTGTTATATTTTTATAAAATGATAAGTGATAGACAGGTTAACAATTTTTAAAAACGTCGATGGTATGATATAGTTATCGACGTGATAACTTTTACCGTATCGTTATTTTTTCCTCTTGATTTTTTTTATATTATTATTATTCACTTTACACGACATTCTAAACTTCTCTATCAATATTAAGCTTAAATACTTTACATTTAAAAGTAATTATCTTGTAGCATTTTTCTTGGTACCCATTTTAACTATCGTATTACTAGTGAACCATCACTTAGATATATAATATTTTCATCACTCTCCTCAAAAATATGCTTACCCATCAAGCACAACTTATTTGAAATACATACATACACACATATATATACATATAATAGTTAGTTTTGATGTCTAAGGCCCGAATCGTCTTTGGGCTTAATGAGAAACACTACATGGGTTAACAAAATCTTCAAACTATTTTATTCTATTGGCTTTTCCTTTCAATTTTTGATTCATTGCTTTTGGGACAAATTGATGCAATATTATATGTATGTATGTATGTATATATATATATATATATATATTATTTTAAAAGAAAGGTTGATAAGATTAATGAGTAATAGATTCAATGCTTTATCAGCTTTAGGTAATAAGCACGATAGGTTGTTAAAGATGGGTCCATTTCTATCACAGCTTACCAATCAAAATTAAATCAAATCATAACAATGATGCCATAACTGTAGGTCCCACTTTCCAAAAATTTATGCAGATTCTTTTCCTTCTTCTTCTTGATTTGTGTGTATATATATATATATATATTTTAATTTTGTCAAAGACAAATCTCTCTACTCTGTGGGTGATGTTCATACTTTCAATTCAATTCACCTTTTTCTGCATCCAATTATTGTGAAATTTGAGGAAGTGGGTTCTCATTTGGGCAGTAGATGGAAGAGCAATTTGATTAAAAATAAGATAGATGGTGGTGTATCACATCAGCAATATAAGAAATGACAATCTCAAAAAATTCAACTACTACTACCAATTATATACCGTTCAGAAGATTTTATACACACATATACATATATATATATGTTAAGACACTGTAACGAAGAGAATTCAACAATTGGCTGGATGGTTACTTGTGGTTTGGTTTTGAAATCAGATCACGGGTCCTAAGCAGAAGCAAAACGTAAAAGAAGGAAGAAAAAGGAAGACAAACAGAAGAAATGAAGTAATCTTTTACAGAGAAATCCAAAAGTAATTTATGAAAACAGCAAGACAGACCCATTACCAGATTTATCACCACCCACCCCTTAAATTTGTTTGTTTGTTTTTTTTTTTTTTCCTTTTCCCATGTATAACAATCGAATCCATTTTTAGAAACAGTAAAAATTAACCCAAGAAAAAAAAAAGAAAGGAAAATGGAAGATGTAGTAGATCAACTCCTGCACCTTGTAATGGCGCTGCAGCCACGGTTGTAGGGGTTGGCCTGACCGCCTTGCTGGCAGTTGTAGTAGGAAGTGCCGCGTCGGGAACAGGGCACGGAGTTCCTCTGGAGAGCACCGTAGCTGATGTACTTGGTGGTCGCTAGGATGCGCCGGTTGATCTCTGAATCCATCAGGAATTCCCCCTCTAATTCGCCAGCAGCCAAGCACTCTGCCATGGAGCCCTTGCAGGTGGATACTCCGGTGGGTATCCAGCCTAGTTGGTGCTGGTGGTCCCCACTCGCTCCGACACTCCATGATTCGGTGATAACCATCAAGATGGCGCAGATAAGCAGGAGAAATCTACGGGAACTGAACAAGTACTGGTTCGCCATTGTTGCAGAAAAATTAAGAAGAAACGAAGAAGTAAAGACACTCTTTGTCTCTCCTTTCTTCTGGGTTTTCAGGGTCTGCTTCTCCGTCTTCTCTCCTGCTGGTGTTTTTGTTGTGGGCGTTTTGAATTTCTTACCATGTTTCGGAGCTTAAAAAGGGCCAGTCGGGACTCGTAATAAGTGGTATGGAGTTGGAGAAGAGACATTGATTTGGTTGTTTATTACGAAGAATGCCATCGGGTGTGGCCTTTTCAAATTGGGAATAGTTCGTGGGAATCACTACCTTGCTGTTTAGCCTTGGAATAATACAAGGGTTGTTGCGTTACTGTGATTTTTATTATTTTCCAGGGTTTGACTATCGGGTTATGTTCTTGTTTATAGACATGGAAAGAAGCAAAATGAACGGAAAAAAAAAAAACAGAGATGAAGTTAGGGATTGAAGAAGTCAGTGGTTGACCTAAAAGGGTTGAAATTCGATATAAACAGGAAAAAAAAAAAAAAAAAAAACTAAGTAAAGAAGAGGGTTAATCTCTTAAACTATTTTTCGACACTGCCCTTCATTATATAATTGTGGGTAAACACAGAAGTCCACAAGTGAGGCCAGTAACCAAGTGAGTAACAAAGTTGGAAAACGATGAATAGTTTTGTTAACTAGTCTGGCGCTAAAATCAAACAAAAACCAAAATCGTGCTAACCACTTTCATCTAAGACTAACTTCCCTTGGAAATTAAGATTGTAATCATCCAGACCAACTACTGGGAGAAAAAAAATAATTAAAAAAAAAAAAAAAGCAAAACCAAGAAAGCAATCATAAAATATTCATAGAATCGTTTTACTCCCAACAACTTTCGTAAAATCAGAAATTTAAAAAGTTAAAAATCTCTAAAATATTCTTTCTCATGGCAACACAAGTAATTAGGAAAATATAAACTAATCTACATATAGAACTGGCTGGCGGCTAAGTAATCAGCTATTTCGTAATAATTTTATTTTATTTTATTTTTTGAGTAGCTAATCAAATGCGAATCCTGTAAATTAAGACCACCTAAGCTGGTCGTCTTGTTGCTGCTGGGAGGAAAGAGAGAGAACACCAAAGATTAGAAGAGGAACCGTGGAATCTAAATTCTCTAGAATTACCGGCTGTGACCTAAAAATTTCAAAATAAAATTCTCACAGATATTCCATCTAAAGCGTTTATATTTTCTACCTTTTTTATGCATTATTTTTTACACTTTTGATATTACAATTCAATCAAATCACTAGGAAAAAACAAAATTAAAAATTAAAAAAAAAAAAATTACCGCAACAACAAGGGCTATAAAGCGAGAATAAGAATTTTCAAGAAACGGCGTCAGCCAAAATAGAACAAACGACGGTTAACACGCACGTAGCCGTTTAAGAGGGTGGGGCCCAACACAGATCACCAGGACGGTGTTTGCGCGTCCCCCGCAGCCAGCTGGTTCCTAACAAACAATCTTTTTTTCAAATTAAATATTCACATTCTAATATTTTTATGAGACTGACTGAAAGACATTCCTTCGTAAATGACGGAAAAACCCTCAAATTTTCTAAGCTCCCAAACAGAACCCCCCCCTCTTGCCTCTCTAAACTCTTTTGATTGTCCTAATCTTTTGACCTCTGCTGGGTATATCCTTAAATATTTTTATGAGACCCTCACGTTTAAAACAGGCTACACCCTCTCCACTTGTAGCAATACAAAGACAGATTACCCACTAATATCTGAACTACATATTACAAGACACTTTAAAAAGTACTAAAAAAATCAAGAATAATGAGAAGTACCTGTCATGTAAGCATTGTTTGAGGATCGTGCTAGCAGGGTAACAGAGAATATAAGAGTTAAAAACTAAAATCTCTCGGGGGCTAGGTTGATAGTAAAATGGCCCATCAACAGATTTTCAGGATTCTACTTCTAGAATGAACAAACAGACAGTCTTGAGATGAGAGTCTTGTTGGGTGATGTCAGAACTCGGAACTAAGACTTGAATGAAAAACATTAACCAGACGAATTGGGACAAGAGTTTTACTGGGTAAATTTCAGGAGCAGTTTTTCATTTAAAGACTCTCAGTTTCGTTCAGTCAAAATATTGTTTCAGATGGGGTCAAGCTGGATTCTACCAATTTGCACCGTGACTCCCCAATATCTACTAATGTTTTCTTTTCTTAAATTACTATAGCTATTTACGTAATTGTAATAACTTCACATCATGATCACTCAACATTACTATATAAAGCTAAGCTATTGTAAAAAATTATTAAATTGCAATAGAGTATTAACTAATTAGCAGAGAGACAACATGAGTCTCAGGCAGCAAATAATCTCCCTTCCTACCTAGGAGAACTAAGGCAAGGGTGGGAAATGGCTGTGCTCTTGGGAATGCCGTCATAGTCAGTCCAGAGGGCAGTTTTCAGGAACAAACACGAAAGGCCAAACTACGATTTCTTTCCAAAATTAAAGAATCTACTTGTGACAAATCCAGACATTAACCGAGAAACATCAAGGCATTAATACACTGGAGTCTGGACGACCAAATGCATAATACTAGGCTTAAAAGTAAGCAGAAATTCCTAAAATAAAATAACCAAACTCCTGAAGGAAACAATCTATTAACAGAAATTACCATGGTTCCGCCATGATTCAACTAGAAGCATTGAAATATGCAGGTATAGCAAGAGATTGATAAAGTAGATTGAGATTGAATTAAGTTGATCATTCTAGGTTTCAGCTCTTTTAGATTTCGGTTTATTCAATTCTTAGTTTATTTGAATTTCTGTCCAATTTAGTTTTGGGTAACTAAAGATTTTTCGTGAATAATGAAATTTTAACTTGGATTTTGGGTCTTCTCAAGTTTGAGCTTTCTCTATGGAGTCTAATTTCATTGTAAGTGCATTTCGAATTTCAGATTTAGAGTTATGAATTTTTGGGTGTATTTTGGGTTATGTATTTTCCATGTTATCTAATTCCAGTTAACTTTAAATTTCAAGTTATTTCAAGCAGTAAATCATTCCGTATCAAATAATTGGACTAGTCAAGTCATTGGTTACACCCGAATTGTTTCAATATCACTTCATTTCAACCCTTGGTCATTTAGATTTCAAGTTATCGATTCTATTTGATCACAATGGGTCAGATTTCAGGTTGGTTAACTCCTATCACCTCTGAGCACAGCTCTCTGTGGAACTTCAACAATTCCAATGAAGAGGTCCCATAACAATACTGGGTTACAAGTTTAATTCACCATTTCAGTCTACTGACCGGCAACCAATTTTTTTTTTCTATAGCCATCTTTCTAGGAATAGTTAACAATTATATGCAGGAAAATTCCACAGTCAAAGATAAATTACATTAACTGCTGATAACGGTAAGAGTAGTAAAAATAAATCTACTAAGTCTTCATTCCCCTACCTTAAGGAAATTCCCACCATTGTTGAAAAGGGATAAATCTGGGTTGCGTTGCACCTCACTAACAATGAAACTTGAGGGTAATACTGAAGGAACTTCCATTGACCGAGCAAGCGATCAAGATCATGTTATTGCTTAAAATCAGTTACCATCAAAATTAAACATTATGTGGTAAGACAATTTCTTAACAACTTTCTACCTGCAACCATAAATTTATTAAAGCATCATAAGTGACAACATTGAAAGGAAAGAAGCCTATAATCAAGCAGAGATCTTTCTTACCACTAGTGTTCTTCATAGTATGGCGGTGTTGACTGGACACAGAGTCCATTCTCATCTCCATTGTCATCGTCATCATCCTCATCTGCATCGACCCAGTTACTTGGATGACGCTGTGAGAAGCCATGGTCATTAACTGTAGACCTCCCTGAGAAAACATATAAATAAAAATGAGTAATTGCAGAAGAGGCAAAATATGCTTGCACAAGCAAATAGACCACCTTCTGCGCTTTCAGCATTATATTTTTCCATAGGCATAACATAAAAGCTAATATAACAATCAACAGAGTGCAAAAAATAACCGGTTTGTATTAGGATTTGAGAGGGATGTGCGAGAGAGAAAGAGAGAGGACTTTTCACCTCAAGGACTCTATTCAAATGAATAGAGTACTTCCTATGAATAATTCCTAATGTAGAAACAAATAATATTTATCACCGAAGCTTGAACATTAATAAGCAAGAGAACTGAATCATGGATACCTCTCAAACTACTTAAGTATTATGTTACATGACTTGATAAAAATCAACACCTCCAAGATTCAAAACAAAAACTAAATTTAGCGCTCTAAACAACTGTTATCTAACCAAGTGTTGATGCATCACTATGATTCCCACCATCCAACAAGACTGGATTTTCTTCTCTCACGCAATCCTCCCTGGAGCCTGGGCACCCACCTCTCTCTCTTATTTTAATTATAAGTAACTGAACCAAATTTTCCGTGGACAGAAAATATCGGAAGGAACTATGGTGTACAAATTACTAACAATGCGAGCACAGACAGCAAGCAAGCAGTAACATCTAGGATACATACCAGGAATATCTTCTGTAACAGATCTGTCTTTTGATATTCGCATTGCACCAATCCTTTGAATTTCCCCCTGTTCACCAGAATTAAGATTTCTTTCCCCTTGAGCCAGCCTCTCCTCGACACTACTGCCACTTCTAACTACACTCCCTGCAAAAAAATACGGTTGGAATATTTCAGCTGTCAGGAGTATAGTCACTAGACACCAGTAAATTCTGAATTCCGACCTGAAAGCTCAGACCAAATTCTGGTGTGGTCAGATGGATGCTCAGGAACATTTATCCTACACCTCTCTTCCGGCGCTTGAGATCCCATCCTTTCAGCAGCAGCAGCAGCAGCTTGTGGTGGTTCTGAAGGATTGCCTTGATGGAGCTGTGATACAAGCATGGTTGCAAGTACAAGCGTAGCATCAAAGTTTGAACCAGCCCCATCGTCTAAACCAAATTTCGGTGCCATTAGTATCGGCCTGTTCCCACAATTGAATGATTATTTCCAACACCCAACACAGCTGAATAGTAAAATACATGCACCAAGAATGATTACCAAGGTAGATAAGTAACTGAAATTTTAAGATGGGTCCACTTCATGATTAAATGTTCCAGCATTTGACTGAGAAAACAATGACAATTAATTTTTTTCTTGAATGGTTATGCAGTTATCATTCACAATCTATTTAGTAACATTCTCATGAATCATATTTCTCCAAATTTGTATCAAGAGTAACCAAACATACATTTTAAGACCAAAATTACCACTAAATGGTATAAACTCGAGTTTCAATGGAACCTACGTTATTACTTGTTGCCCATGTATAACTAAAAATGATATGAATCCCCATGGAACCAAAATTGCAGAAATTACTCAGATTTTAATAGTTTCAGTTAGATTAGACATTGAAAACGAGTGACATTTCTTCAACCTAGTCCATAATATTATTTACATGGTATTATATGAACCTAGACCAAAAGAAGCCCCCTTTTGTGCTTTGGGCTCAGTCTATGCTGTGATCTAGACCAGAACCAATACTTATCACTAGGTACCCAATAATGTTGAATATATACTTGGTTAAAGCTAGTTGTTTGCTAAATCCACAAAAACAATTACTCCTTTCTAAGGAAGAAAAAGAAGAAGAAAAAGCAATACAAGACCATGTGGAGATAATGGAAAAAATCTTACTCGCCAGCCTTTTCAAAAAATAGGTGAATGTCAACCTCGCAGCTCTCGCAGAAAGAAAGAAATGCCTGAATATGAAAGGCAAGGAACCAAAAAAATAAACAATTGGATCAATCAAAATGCACATAACACAAGGTCTGTCACTTCATGCACAAACAAAACTATCGTAAGTTGTCAAATAATGACAACAATTCATGTTAGGTTGAATTTTATGTCCTCATATAATTAAACAGATCTGGCAAATCCTGTCAAGACCACTATACCTTCAACTCCTTCATACCAAAAGTAACGTCCACAGGGTCGCCAGTGTGAGTATAGTGCACAAATTCTTCTGAAGGATCTATCCAGAGTTGAGTGTGCAACAAGGAGTCATTTTCTGCAGTTATAAATAAACCATCACTGCTTTTATTTTTGGAAAAAATCACTATAAAAGGGAGATATATTTACCTTTGCTTGGATCTACATAACTTCTAAGTTCCACAGCTTTTCCACCGATTTCACCTGCAACATCTGAAGGTAAGGAAGTTGGCTCTGTTGCGATGATGGTAATCTCCTGAAGAGATGATTGGAAGTTTCCAAGCAATCTACTCAGATCATGAGGCCTAACTATAAAGCTACTAGGGAATTTCCTCCTATCAAGAGACAAATGTTGTATATCTGGTTCAACATTGCAAGTAATCCAATATGCTTTTTTCATCCCTGTACAATAAAATTATAATGTCAAAATTTAGGATATTGAAGATTGTACTTAATGATGAAGTTGTGTTATATGATAAACGTAGTGTACAGTCAATGAATGAGAAGTCAAAAGTTTTATTTGATTTATCTTTTGAAGGTAATAATTGAATCAGAAATCACGAGATAAAACTAATTGCAATATTAATATGCACAATTCTATATGTTTTCTGAGAAGGCTTATTTATACAAGAAACTCCAAAGCAAAATCTCCAGTTCCAGGATGAAGAGTCATTTGCAATATTTTGGAAACAGTTTCAAGAGTAATATATAACAAGCTATTTAGGAACTTCTTTTTTCACACACTAATTACAATATCAGCACAAACTTAATCAGCCATAGTGGGTTTTAGAAAGCTACTGTAGCGCCAGCATATACCTGCAATATTCTAGCCACCACTGATATTAGTTGCCATATTCCGTATTTTTTCCAATGACGATTGAGTGAGTTTGAGAAACTAAAATTAAAAAAAAAAAAAAAGAACTGAATCGACCAAGTTATGAAGGAAACACTTTCACCTCTTTGTTAATATTACATGCCCAGAACCATGGTTGCTAGAAACTTCCTCACTCACTGAAAATACCACTATAGAGAAATGGAAATGGCCGGTATCATATACAGAATCTACCCATCACTACTGATACAGGAAGGAACAAGACAATCCCTCCGTGACATTAATTATCAATTACTGACAACTCTGGTTGGGTAAGAGAAACACAGGGAAAGCAATTTACCACTACAACATTCCAGTGTCCATTTCACTTTTGATGCATCGGGATCGAGCAACTGCACAGTCAGATTATCAATACTTGCAATCGGTGTCCTGAGAACAGAACAAATGGCCTGACTGCACTGTATCAATAACGAGCCTGAATAAAAGAAATTATCCATTCAAGTTCAAATGTTAGAACATAATAACATACCTTCAAAAGTACACTACATTGGATTTGTGAACCAGAAACTGTATAAACATCAAAGAAAGAAGGCTTGAATAAAATAGACTGATAGGCAGATCGCGATGAATTAAGTGTGTGAAGAGCCAGCTGCAACACAAAATTTATCAGTTAGCATAAAAAATAAGATTTCAGTCTCTCAAACCTAACTGCTGCTAAAATATGCTTTCAGTCTCCCCAATCTAACTACTGCTAAAATAAGCTTTCAGTCTCTCAAATCTAACTACTGTTAAATCGTCAAGGTTCCAAGCTCCATTTTCTGCTCTTCAAATGTATATCTTCATAAGACCAAATAGAGGTTAGTAATCTCACTTGACGGAAAACAGAACTAAACAAGTTCCATATAAAAAGAACATCCCGCACTGAAAATCCATTTCCTATTCTTCACTTCCATGTTGTCATCAATCAAACATATAATAGTGATCTCACTTCATACCCAATTTTGCAAAAAATTATACATGATTACATGCGTAAAAAGAAGGAAAACCTAATCACCCGCATTTCCTTGCAAACCAAATTGAGTCACTATATGGCTTAATCCTAAAAATTTCAAACATCCGAACATGATTCATCACTCGTGTAATCGAAAACGCAAAAGTGAAAAAAATCCAAAGAAAGTACAAAATAAATACAAATAACCAAAACCCTAGGCGCGCCAAACACGCAAGAAACACAAATTAACAACATCGACAACTGACTTAATCGGTTAAATTGTCCGTTGTTTGTGATATGATCATTTAACTGATATATAAAATTTGGAGTATTAGTTGAGAATATCGTTTTCTTCGGATATCCAAATCTGTTTGGCGACAATGATTCCGAGAGAAAGGAAAAAAGAAAAGGAATGAAAAGTTGACGGAAGAATTTCAGTTTCACCTGAGAAGGAGAAGCTCGAAGAACAAGCTCGTTGCCGACACGAGCGAGGCAAGTGATGGACCGAGAAAAGGTCTTGAGAGGGTTTCCGCTGAGACTGAACTCCATTACTGAATTTTGCTTCTCTAACTCAGCAGAGATAGAGAGAGAGAAAGGGAGAAGGAGAGGAGCACGATTGCTTGGCGGGAATGTAAAAATGCGGAAGGGGTCCCTGATATCATCAATTGGTGAACAAAACGACACAGTTTTAAGTGATTTAATCGGACCCATTCGCGTCCGGTGCTTTTTTTTCGCACGGTAATAAAACAAAACAGATAGGGGTAGTTTCGTCAATGAGTTTATTCAGAAATAAAACCCCTATTCCCTTTCTTCCTCCCCTAGTTCCCCAGTTTACTGCTTTGCCGTTTTTTCTCCTCTACCGGCTGCAAGGTATTTTTCTCTTGCTCTTCCTACATCTTACTCAGTTGCTACCTGTGTGTTTCAACTGTGTTCTTGCTCCCGTTTCATGTCTGTGATCGTGAATATTCAGTATTGTTTTATTTTTCCTCTTTTGCTTCCTTCAGGATTTCATGTTAGTTACAGACTGAATCGTCCTTTTGTTTATTTTATATATTCACCATCATGAAATCGAATTAGAATCTTGATTAATATGACTTGTTTCGTTCGTGGGCTGGGTTTTAAAAAGATCTTTGAATATTCATGGTGATCTCAATCTTATACGTTATTTAAATGTTAAGTATTGTTGTCTCTTTCAGTTAGGTTTTCAGAGTTCTCCTTATTGAATTTTTAGTTTCTTTCTCCACGATATCGATTGATTTTATGCATTTGAGGAGCGTTCTTTTTTTTGCCAATTTATAATCCCTTGTTAATTTGGTTTTGGGTGCCTCTTACTTTATCAATTTAAGGTTACTAATATGGGAACTGATATTTAGGCTTCTAGGGTTGACTTACTTTTGTTGAAATGTTCGTAATAGGTTTATTGAGCTGAGTGTTTTGGATAGCAAACAATTGGTCAAGATGCAGAACGAAGAGGGTCAGAACACGGATCTCTACATCCCTAGAAAGTGGTATGTTGGTGTCCTGTTTCTTTTTCTATTCAGCATTAGTTGTATTGAGATGAAAAACTTATCACGGATTTAAAATTGTTGCAGCTCGGCAACAAATAGGCTTATCACTGCGAAAGATCATGCATCTGTCCAGATTAACGTCGGACATCTGGATGCAGATGGTGTTTACACCGGACAGTCCACCACTTTTGCACTCTGTGGGTTTATTCGTGCCCAGGTGCGATCCTCTTTTATCTAATGTGCTTACACTGTGGTTGGTTCAGTTTTCATTGAAGTTCTAGTTATAATTTTTATATTAGTTTTATTTACATAATTGTAATATTTGTTCTGTTCAAATTATCAAATTCCACTTTGAATTCATTGATGGTAGGGATTTGATTCTTATGTTTTAAAGAAAAGTTTAATTTACACTGTTAAGGAATTTTAAGTATAGGTGGTAACACATGCACCACAAAATTACGTTCTAATCATGCCATTAAACCTAATATAAAAGTTAAAACTGATAATTTAATTAGAATTGATCCAAAAATGAGCTTGAATGTTTAAATTTTTGTTGTACATGTTGTGTAGTGTTATTTATGTTCGATGCTCTCGCCTTCTTGTATCTTTTTAATGATGTCTTGTCAAAATTAGATAATGCTTGTCGCTACATTTTTCTTGTGGATATTTATTGCTTTCTTCTAGTAAGGTGTTTTGCTTGTAATTTTTTTGGTGCAATACTGTTTTTGGGGGTTGATTGTAATATCTTGAACTTTGTTCTTGAGGGTCGGAAGCTTATTGAAAATGTGAAGTATGGGTAGATTTGTGAAATGAAGGTCATTGTTTTGATTCTTATTCTAGACCTGACATGAATCTCAAAGATCTATTACTAGTCTCTTGTCATCTGTGTTTGGCAAAGAAATTTAGTTCAGCAAGTTTCAGTTGAGTTCCGGCAATAGATGTTCCATCACTGTCTGTTAAGTTGGTTGTATCTTCTATTAAGTGAAGAAAAATTGTCTAGAGAGTGATAGTCAGTTCCTTAGTTTGTATTTTGATTCATTTTCTATTCAGTATTTCTAGTGAATGGCTAATTCCNCTTTGGCAAAAGAAGAGAGTTGAGGTCCGCCAACAATAAGCGATAACTATAGTTGTCTTAAAATTTTCTAGGCATCATCCACCCTAGTTTGATTTTGTGGCTCATGGCCAAATTCATTGTTGTTGTGGACCGAATAATGTGTAGCACTTAGTTTATCTTTGTTTGCAACTGAGACTTGCATGATTCGGCTTGCTACTGCGGTCATTTGAATATAGGTTTATCTTCTTGCCACGATATGTAAGAACTTATTAGCTAATTTAAGTTGGTCCCATTCTGGATTATATAAAATAGTTTGCAAGTGGCCAAATGCTTTGATGGGCAAATTATAGGAAATCATTCTTTCAAGTTTGTTGTGTAAGCTAGTCATCGTCAATGCCCAAAGCCAAAGATAGATTTGGCATGTAACCCTCAATTTCCAAGTGAGAGCTAAGCCTTTCTACAACCTCACTCACCTTGACCCAATTAGAATTTAATCTGTCCTGTACAAAGAACTCATGGACCTCCCTCCCTACTTCAATGGAACTACACCCGGGTATCTTCTTCTTCTCCACTCCTCTCACCATCTTCCTTGTTTTCTCCACCTCGCCCCATTTATTATTCGCAGCTAGTATATTCGACAATAGTACCTGACAACCATTATCTTCCGGACCTAAACTCTGGAGATAACCCATCAAATCCTGACTAATGTCTGTGTATCCATGAATCCTGCAAGCATTCAGCAAAGCTCCCCATATAACCACATTCGGCTTCATTGGCATGGATCTGATTACCTCTTTTGCTTCCACAATCAGCCCTCTTCTACCTAGAAGATCTACAATACAACCATAATGCTCAATTTTCGGACTAATCTTGAACTCTTCCTGCATCCGCTTGAACTGCTTCCACCCTTCATCAACCGAACCCACATGATTACAAGCAGATAAAACAGCAATAAAGGTAACTTCATCAGGGTTCACGCCAGAGAGTTCCATTTCTTTGAACAGCTCCAATGCGGCATATCCCTGGCCATGAACGGCAAGCCCGCATAACATAGCATTCCAGGTGCACAGATTCCTTCTCTTCAAGCTCCGAAACAACTTGAATGCTGTCTCCATGCACCCACATTTTGCATACATGTCAACAAGAGAAGTACTCAAAAAAAGATCTTCCCTCGTCAATTGTTTCCTATTCACATAAGCATGAGCCCACCTTCCCATATCTAATGCTCCAATCTGTGCACAAGCTGCTAGCACACTGGTCATTGTTACACTATCTGTATCAACACCCAGAAACTGCATTTCCTTGAAAAGTTTCAAAGCGTCCATGGCTCTCCCGCTCTGCGCATAACCTGAGATCATCGTACCCCATGAAATCAAATCCCGATATGTCATTTCATCGAACAATGATCTAGCAATATCTACCCTACCAAGTTTGCAATACCCACCAATGACAGCATTCCATGACCCAATCTCTCTCTTGGGCATTTCATCAAATAACTTGCGCCCATTTTCGATGTTCCCAGCAGCAAAATAGCTCAATATCATTGTATTATGGACAACGGTACTATCAAAACGCATTTCATCGAACACTTGGAATGCAGCTCCAACATCTCCGCATTTCGAGTACATATTAATAAGCGCATTGTGGATAAACAGATCACCGACATGGCCAAATTTCAGAATCATGCCATGAAGAGTCTTGCCTTCCTGGTAACTGGGTTTTAACCCGTAAGCCTTGAGCACGAACAGAAACGTGAACCTGTTCAACTCAACGGCTCTTGCTCTCATCAACCCGTAGAACTCGATGGCTTTGTCAGGGTTTTTAGCGTGAATAAAGGCTCGAATCATGGTGGTCCACGCGTAGGAATCGGGATTATCTATGGTGTTGAAAACCCGGAAAGCGAAACCGATGTTAGACGCCCTGATCGCATAGGATTCCACCATTTTTGTGGCTGTCAGTGTGTGTTTGATTTGATTGGTTGCGACGAGATGAGCGTGAACTTGCTTCAGCTCTTCCATGTGTCTGCATGATTGGAGTATCGAGAGGGTCGTGGCCTCTCGCTTTATAGTTTTGTGGTTGGGTCTGAGGAAAACAACTCTTGAGCGCCGGCGTAATGGCGCGAAGGAAGGAAGGTGAGGCATGAAACATTGCAAGAGGGCAATGCTGTTTCCCAGTAAAAGCTGGCGAAGGAGGTCACGGAAACGATGTCGTTTGGCTTCGCATATTCTATGCTTAATACATTTAAATTTAAAAACAAAATTTAACTTTAAAATATTATAAAATTTAAAATTAACACAAACAATAATAAATTAAGGCAAATTTTTTTAAGCCTATCTTTTAGGTAACATGAAATATTTAATTATTTAATTATTTATTTAAATTTTGGGCATGCGGCTCCAAACAATTTGCTTGACATGTTTGTCATTTAGTACCAAAATTCAAATAATTCAAATTTATTTTGTTAAATTAATTGGTAACATTATTTTTAATATAATTTCCAATTTTTTTTATTATTTTACATATTAAAATAATAAAAAAATTAAATATATAATTTTCGAATATCACGTGTATTATTTTAATTTTTTAAAATTCTATCACAAAAAAAAATAAATTTTAAAACTGTGTATTGATTTAAAAATATTTATTACATAACGCGATTAAATTTTACACAATAAATTTATATACGTTTTCGTTTATTCTTTTTTATTGATTCGATATGAAATTACAGTCAGCAAGTTTTTCGAATCCAAAAGTTTGATTTTAAAAAAGCTTTCTTAACATTTGCATATGGATAATTAAAAAGCTTTTGAATGTATATATATATATATATACCACAAGAGGGAATCCCACCTGAAAGCAGGGTATTATTGGGTATATATATATATATATATGTATATATATATTGTATGCATGTATTGTATGTTCCATTTCTTTGACAAATGGATTTAAAGTAAATTCTAATATATGTGTATTAAATTATCGATTTATACCTCGGTTTAAAATTAATTAAATAGCAATTAAACAGAATTAAATCTTAATAATTAAATTTAAATATGAGTTTAATACATTTAGATATTATTTTTATAATTTTTTATTTTATAATAAATAAAATAAAAAATATTAAAATATAACTATATAAATAGACAGTTATAATTTTCGAATATCACGTACATTATTTTAATTTTTTAAAATTCTATCATAAAAAATAATAATTTTTGAGATTGTGTATTGATTTAAAAATATTTATTATATA